TTCCTATTACGTCCTCAATGTAAAGGTTGACTGTCCAGTCCCACTGTTATCATTGGGCTTCCGCTCCTGCTTCCCTGAGCCCATCTCATTTCACTTGTTCATGTGACTTTCAAGGCCAGAGAAGGTATGTGGGTGAGAGGAAGAGGTGGCTGGAGGCATCATGATAGTCTTATAACAGGAATCCCTTGCCCCCTGAAAAGGCATCTGTACCAGGACCATGGCTGCTTCCTAGGGTTGGTGAGCTACTAGGTGGGTAAAATGCCTTCAGTTGGGTGGATGAGAGCAGAGAGCCATTGACTGATGCGGGCAACACACTTATTTCCTATTCAAAGCTCAAACTGTCCACATGGTCTCTTCTTTGAATAAATGTCTTGAATATCATTTACTCAGAACAGTGCCCCACAAGCACGCAGGCTATCCCCAACTCAGCAGAAGGTTCACAGCAAAGATGCACATTTTCAGTCATCTAAGAAAACCAGACTTCCTTTCAGCAAGTGCTCCAGTCCACTGTAGTGGCCAACCAATTTATTGTCTAAAGTAGACTTTTTTTTTAGACGTCAAAGGGGGCGTCATTACTAATTATGCCAGGAAAACAGGAATAAACCAGCAAGCAAAATGGGGCATGTGGCAACCTCCACCCATGTCCTGGTTACAAAACCTGCCATTGGCCACTGCAGGTTGTTCTGGGAGACAGGCTTGTCCCATTTCCATCCCCGGAGTGTGCTTGGCTCATCTCACTGTTGAAGTTCCTACTGGATTAGAGAAGACCCACAAGCTTTGTTCTCCCAGAGGTTGAGCTCTCCCACCTCTTTCTACCTTTCATTGGTGCCTCTAAGCTTAAGCCTCAGACTCTCAGATGATGCAGGTGGGACCTGGGGAGCAAATGACACGTCTTTGGATCCCTCCATTTCTTCTGCTGTGCTCCCCTCGTGCAGAGACCCTCCTGGGTCATTCAGGTGAAAGAAGTTTCCTCTACTTTCTGTTAAGCTGATTGGGTCACCCCTTCAGGCCACTAGAAATTCACAGTCCCAGTGGAGGGGGAGGGCGGGGCTCAGATCACTGTAGGACACCACCATGGATGATCAAACCACTTTCCACAACCAGCAAAGACGTGTCATAGCAGCAGCAGTTAAGTTTAACACTTCCCGTTTGGGGAAGAAACAAAGAAAAATTGGGGGCATTTCAAATATTGAAAGAGCCAAGTTTTTGACATGCAATGGTATGAATTCCTTTCCCGGAGGCAAATTACACAGTAGTACCTAAGCTATAAAAGGGAGGAGGAGGGATGGAGCATAGTGGGATGGTGAAAGAAGTAGTTTAATGGATATAGGAAGATCCAAAAAGGCGACTCTCCGATCCCTTAGATAAAGCCACCAGCTACTCGTCAAAGGTGAGAGGAAAAGCTGGCTGGCTTTATTCGTTTAACAAAGATGCACCCATGTGACAGAGAGAGGAGGTTAGAAGGTTGGCAACAGCTCATTCTCATTTACTGCGCATCCTCAACGATCCCATCACCTTATAAGAAGGCCTGGCACGAGGCTTGGACATGAGGTTTTGAAAGAATCTACAGTGGCCAGGAAAAGGGAGAGGCACACGGCGGGGAGGAGGGCTGATGTATTATTTACAGGTGGAGAACTTGAACAGAGCAGCCTGCAAGGGCTGGCCCAAAGACCTGTGTCTGCATGACTGAGGAATAAAGACAGACATAGCCGAATCCTCACGCTGGCCCCCTTTGCCACCAGGCACCCAGGGCGCCGCTGGGCCAGCCTGCGTGCGTCTCATCTCGTGGCTGTGTCGCTGTCTGCCCTGCTACCCGTTACCTTTCCCTGTGGGCCAGAATCATAAAGACCTCCACAGAAAGCTGTTTGGGCTTCTGTGGGTGAAGTCTCATTCCATTGGCAAGGAGGGCATCTTGCTGGTGATGACAGGTCTAATAAGCATGCAGATGGCGCACACACACACACACACACACACACACACACTGCGACTGAAGTCACCACACAGTGGGCAGACAGGAGGGATGTAGGGAATCTGATCTGACTGAAACAAAAGGCTGCCTCCTCTGGAAATGAGCTGAGCGAGAGCATCAGGAGGACAGCATGAGGGAACGAGGAGCCGCGTGTGAAAAGCCACAGCAAAAGCCGCCAGAGAGCATATGCATCGGACTTCACAGCTTCCTCCCACCTCCAGCTCGCGTTTGCTCCATATGCTGCTCCGCACAGCGTTCCGGGGCCGTCCTGGGTTTTATCCCGTAGTTTTTATACCAACATGAATGACTCCCATCTGCTCCCATACCCCATTCCCTCGCTAATGTCTTCGGCTGCCAGGAGAGAACAGCTTCCGTGAAACTTGCCAGCGACAGGCGTGGCCAAAGGAATCCTAATTCGGGGACAAGAACGGCTCGAACCTGTGTGGGCGGGAAGGGCCTCTGAGAAGGCATGGTGTGACCGACGGGGACATGGAGACCCAGAGGAGTGTGGAACTTGCTCAAGAACATCAAGACCAGGGAGGTCCCTTCATTTTGGGGGCACCAGGGTACATCTAATTCAGGGGGCCGCCTATATTTTTATTTCATGCCACATGAAGTCTTTTGCTGGGAGGTTTTCCTCCCCATCTAAACTGCGATGAGAAAAAAGTAACTTGGATTAGTTGCTAATGACAGTTAATCCCCCTGTGCTCTGCGTACCTCAAGCTGGTTATTAAAGTTTTAAATATCCGCTGGAGCGTGGGGACCCCCGGCTAGGCTGTGTCCTGGGAGAGACCTCCAGGGCGGGGCTCCGTGTGGACACCCACCCGGCTTCCAGATGTTTGGAGTCGCATCCAAGGTAGATCTCAATCCTAATAACAGTTCCTGGTTTGACAACCCTGGTTTGACAACCCAGACCAACGTGCCTTTTGGCTGGATCAGGTAAGGGCACTTGGCAAAACCGGATTCCCTCACCAGCTCCCAGAGGCCCAGGAAATCTCCTCTTGCCTGGAGGACAGAACAGTGACTCCAGAGGCAAGCACCGTGGAAAGCAATCCCTGCCCTCCCGGCATCGCAGGCCTTGCACGGAGCTGCACTGGGCGTCCCAGGGCCCCGTGCCCCTAGGTGCTGGACAGTCAGAGGGGAGCACCTAGCACCTCTGCGGCAGGCAGTGTGGCGCTGCACCATCTCGGAACCTTGGCGTGGTTGGCATGGTGTTGTGTAACTCCCCGCCATCTGTTACTCAGAAGCAATATCACCGAGCGCTGAGCAACGGGCTACGGTGCTGCAACTCCTGCCTGGAGCTGACAGCGTCTCAGCCGCTTGCCCGGGGGCCCCCTGCAGAGTCTGCCGCAGAACACTTTGCAGGCCCAAGCCAGCAGGTCCCGGGTGAGGCTCCTGGAAGAGATCCAGGCAGCTCAGAGGCTGTAGGGATGGGTTCTCTTGGGCCTTCTCCCCACTTGCCCCTCTTTCCCCCCCCCCCCCCCCATACTTGGACCTTTGTCTGGTCAAGGTGATGGCTGGGGAACTCACCCCAACCTGTCAGAATCTAGAGTCCTAATGAAGGTGGACCCTGGGCCACCCCTGGGTTCTGTGTGGTGGTCTAAGCGCTCAGCCAAGCTTTGAGATAGGCTGGCAAGAGTGCTCCGCTCTTCTGGATTGTCTGAGTCCCCCCTCTGCTCCTGGCCAAGGACTCTTTGGGGCTGTGCGGCAGGACTGGCCTGTGACAGGAAGACAAGGTACCAAACAGAACAGCTTTCAGCAGATTCCTCCATCTCTGACTCCACTTCTTGGAGGCCCCCTCTTATTGAAGAATTAATTCAGGAGCCCCACTTTCAGGAGGGCACGGGGGCTTCCCTTACGTTGAGCTTGGTGAGGAGAGGCAGGGAGGATGGTCTTACAGCAGTAGGGACATCATTCTCGCCTCTTTTTTTGAAAGGTAACCCTCTACGTCCAGTATCCCCCTGCCCAGAACCCCATGTTCAGACCCCCTCCTTGGAGCATCTGCCAGCCCAGAGCTCTAATGCTTACAGGGAGAGCAAACCCTTGAGGGAAATGATGGCGCCTTAATTTTTAAAAAGGATTTCTTCCAAGTTACATTTAGACCGACTCAGCGTTCCATTAAGCAGGAAAAGTTGCCAGGCACCTGCATGCAGGCAGAGAAACACCCTGGGAAGTTGGCTGAACTTGGCCTTGGCCCTGAACCTCTCCAGGTCCCAAGCTCTCAGAGCTGGCTTCTGGCGGAGGGGGAAAAGAGGGTTGCATGCAGGGGGGTGGTGGTGCATGGAGGGCGGGACTAGGGTTTGAGCGCCACGTGCAGACCCCCCCCCCCCCCGTGTGAGCTGGAAAGTCCTCCCGGAATAGCCACACCAGACATAGGTACCGAGGTGGAGCTGGCGCTGGCAGCCTCCTGGACGCACCATCCCGCCCCGCCCTGCCCTGCCTGCCCCGCCCCAGGACGGCCCGGAGCTGCGCTGGTGCTCGGCGCGGGCGGGCGGCCTCCGAACCGCACTGTGCGCCTCGGTCGGCGGGCGGCGGTAGCGCCCCCTCTCCGAGCCCCCTCGTTCGCACCCTGGCTCCCTCCGAGTAGGTCAGTCAGTCGTGCCTACCCTTCCCCTTCGCTCTCTCCTCCCCTTCCTCCCTTGTGTTCCTCTCGGGGTGCCGGGCACTGCCTGGGATCCCTCCCTCCCGCAGCAGCTCAGTCAGTTTCCCTCCTGGCGGCTGCGGCGGGCGGGCGAGGCGGCGGCGGCGGCGCGGGGACCACGTCGCTGCTGCTGCGCTTGACCAGCTTGGCTGCCCCGGGGCCCTTCCCTGCCGCGTCTCGGGGCGCCCCGCTCCCCCATCCCTCCTGCTCTCTCCTCTCGGTTGCAGGCGGGGCGCTTTCAAGGATCCCGCCGCCCGCCCGCCCGCCCCTGCACCCGCGTTCCTCCAAGGAGCGAGCCCGGAGCTCCCGGGACTCCTGCCCCGCCGGCCCTGGCCGCCAGGGGGTGCCCCAGGGTCGCAGTTCCGCGGAGAGAAGGCGAGGAAGGGGAACATGCGGCGCCTGCCTCGCCGCCTGATGCTGCCGGTCTTCGGGGTGCTCTGGATCACCGTGCTGCTGTTCTTCTGGGTAAACAAGAACAAGTTGGAGGTGTCCAAGGCGCCTGAAGTGCAGCCCACCAAGGTGAGGGGTGCGGCAGCGCGCCGGGTTTGCAGGCTCCCGGGAAGCCGAGGCGGGGGGTCTGGGTGCAAGGGAGCAGGTAACGGGGCGCCGGATGCGGCGGTAGGATCTGTTTCTGGATTCAGAAAGCTCCGGGGGTATCCACGGAGTCGCCGTGTGTGAAAGTGGGAGTGGGCGCGCGTCCGAGCGGAGCTCGCAACTTGGGCAGCGCGCCGGGGTCCCGGAGCAGAGGGGGCGCCCCCTGCGGAATTGTGGCCCAGAAGGTGGCGGTCTGGGGACTCCTCCAGAGAGTCGCTGCCGGGGTTTGGTCCGGTGGCCGGGCCAGCCAGGGCTGGCGCCCGACAGAGAAAGTCTGGCGGCTGAGCCGACCTCCTTCCTTCCCGCGGGCGGCTGCCAGGCCCGGCGTGGGGAGGCCAGAAGCCCGGGGTGCGCCGCGCCTGTCTATCTCCGGCGAGTGCCCTGAGCCTCCCACGGCCTGGTGCCACCCCTGCTTTATGATTGTCCTGAGCCCTTCAGCTGCTTTGGGAATGGAACATCACTAGAGAGTCTGTTAACACCTACCCTCAACCCCCTTAAAAAAACAAACAAAAATAAACTCCTTGGAGAATCCAAGTGGCTTTTCAAACTCCTGCTCCGTTGGTTCATCTGAGCAGAGCCACTTTTACCTGGAATTCAGAGCTCCCATTTTTCAGTCTCTTTCTCGTCCACGCACCTGGCTGTGGGACAGAGGAGGAGGCAGGCCTGGGGGTTTCCTGACCAGGGATGCAACATTTATGAACTTAAAAAGCCTCGGGTACGATTTAAGGTCCAAAGCAGGAGCCTGACAACAGGGGGAAGGGGAATGTGGAGTCCCCCCGAGGACTCACTGTGTTCCAGGTGACGCAGTGGGTGCTTCTCCATAAGCAGCTGTATGAGTTGTGTGGTACTCTCCTCATTTCATAGATTAGGAAATAATCCACCTTGGTTCAGTCTTTAACTGCCTTGCCTTAGTTCACGCCACGGATTTGAACTGTGACCTTGGATATTCAGGATCTTTTCTGTTATATCTAGGTGCCCCTCAGACCCCCTTTTAAGTGTCTTCTGGCACTGGTGTTTTGGAATCTTGCCAATTCTCAGTTGCGTTCCACAAGCATTTTTCGGCCGAATGGCATCCCTGTGCTAGGATATGAGTAGAGAGATGCAGAGCTTACAGGCTCGGGTGGGATTTGCTCATCAGTGGAACAACCGTACAGTGTGCTGAGAGCGGAGATGGTCTCAGTGCACTCGGTGTCATGCGAGCCAGGGGGCTTCCTGGAGGAGGAGGACTTGACAGACTGAGTTGAGAAGTGTGCACGGTAGGTCTACCGGTGGGTAGGGAGGGCACTCCAGGTAGAAGTGAATGGCGCTGAACAGGCTCAGAGGAATGGCACAACGTGAGTTTGGCAGCATTGGAGTGAGAAGCAGGTGGCAGACGTCAGGGATGAGGCTGGGGAGGTGAAGGTGGGTTATGTTGGGTAGGACCTCGTAGTTACTAGGCAACCTGGGGGCGGGGGTTACTAAGCAGGAAAGTGAGGAGCTTCAAACAGCCTTTAGAGCACAGGATCAGTTTTCTCACTCACCTCAGACTTGCCCCTAGATCTAGAGAGCTTTCCTCCTCCTTTCCTGGATGCTCCTGCCAGTGGGGACGTACGCTCTCTGATTTGTGTTGGACCTCATTACCTGAAGTTCACTTGCCTTATTCTTAGCTTCCCCCCAGGGTCTGTGACAAGAGCTGTTTCCTTCTCTGGGTATTCTGTCTTTCCTTACCTGCCTCTTCTCATCCTGGTGTGCACTGAACACATATTGATGGAACAAATGCAGCCCTGTGCCAGGCTGTGGGCCCGGTGTGGGGGCTACCGTGGCGAGTACATTGGGTCCCTGCCCTTTGGGGGGCTCTCACGAGTGCCTGGTTGAGCGGCATTACAAACAAATGAGTAGTGTCAGGAGGGGTCTGATGCCACAGTGCTGTGCAGTCAGAGAGGCTTCTAGTTTTGACCACTTGCTCTGTGTCTTAACATCCTATCCCCACCCCCCTTTTCTGTATCCTTTATTGCTAGGAGTTCCTTAGGCCTAAAAAATCTTGATATCTTGGTTTTGTTGGTGGACCAACCGTACAGCGTGCTGATCAGTTAGGCATCGACCAGGCTGGCCGGGGAGTGGTTAGGGGGTGATCAGGCTGGCAGGCAGATGGATGTCCGACTGCCCATTTAGGCCTTCTTTTTTGTTAGTATATTTTCCCTTCCCGTTGTTCATCGGTATGTATGACTGTATATCTGCATAGACGTGTTGTGTGTATTTATGGGTGTGTTTGTGTCTGGAGAATGACCACACCTCTGTTCTTAGCATATACGTGTCTGAGAACAGAGATGGAGAGATCAAGAGAGATCTCGTCTTAGCCCCAGAACAATTTTATTCCCATGATGACCAATCTATGGTGTGCAGTTGGGGTTCCTAAACCTGACTGCATGTCAGAATCACCCGGGCTGGGGACTTCCCGGATTTTATTTTAGTTTTAAAATATATATTTTATTGATTCTTTTTCAGAGAAGAAGGGAGAGGGATAGAGAGTTAGAAACATCGATGAGAGAGAAACATCAATCAGCTGCCTCCTGCACACCCCCAATCGGGAATGTGCCTGCAACCAAGTGTATGCCCTTGACTGGAATCAAACCTGGGACCCTTGAGTCCCCAGGCGGACGCTCTATCCACTGAGCCAAACCGGTCAGGGCAACCTCCCGGATTTTAGATGCTATGTGGCAAGTTGCCTTCCCTGGGGTCCGCTACAGATTCAAGTTCTGGTGCTCCAGGCCCTGGTTCTCCTTTCTTCAGGGTCAGGACACATCTCGTTCACCCAGTGCCGGGACCTCCACGGAGGGCCTGAGAGGAAGGTATGCTGGGCTCCTGGCTGAAGAAAACTGAGTTTTTGTCCCCCCTTAGTTTCAAGAAGGGCTGGTTCTATTAATAGCTCAAGTAGAGATTTCTTTAAGTGTGACTTTTTAATATTGATTCTGCCCTTTTAGCTGATCCCCTTCCCCCACATTCAGCACGTTCTGATTCCTAATTGGAAATCATGTAACACGTTTGATGTCTTCATTCAGGCTGCATGTTTAGCCATAAATATGGGTACCGCTAAAAAATACCCAAAAAATCTTTTCATTTCTTCTCGCCTCTTATCATTTGTTTGCCTTTTGAAGAATTCTGCAATAAATGACGGGATTGAAAAAAGAAAGAAAGAAAGAATACCAGAAAATTTGTCTCCTATTTCCTATAAGTAAATTTATAGTCCAAAGGCTTAAGTAAAAGGAAGGAAAAAAAAAAAAGAAAGAAAAAATTGAGGCCTGAGGGTACTTTTTGAGGAAAATATTGGAAATGTAGAGGCTTTGAACTAAGTGCCTGGGGCCCATGGAGATGTATTTGTGTTGAACTAGAAACACAGCATACACTGTGAGAAAAGAACTCGTTTTCCCTTAACATTTGCATACCACCAATCCTTGCAGTACATGACACTGTTATTTTATTCCCCATTTAGTAGATAATTCCTCCCATTTAAAAAATCATGAATTTCAGAGAGAGCCCTTATTAATCTGCGGATGCTCAGTGTGTGGAGATTGGACTCTGTCCAGGGAATTTGGACTCTGGCACGACCGGAAGTAGCCCGTTGTCAGAAGAATGTTAATCTTTTCATTGGCTCCTGTGTGGGAGCTGGGCCCTGGGCGGAGGCTCCCGGAGCAGGTGGTGGGAAGGTGGTGCCTGGTGCCCCAGCAATGGCTGCTGTGAGAGGCTGGGAAATAGGAAAGAAGGAGGTTGGAACCTCAGGTATTCAAGAAATAGCATGCCGCTGCTTTCTGGACATGAATAAGCACTTTTAAAAAATAAACAGCCGAAACCGGTGTGGCTCAGTGGATAGAGTGTCGGCCTGCGGACTGAAAGGTCCCAGGTTTGATTCCGGTCAAGGGCATGTACCTTGGTTGCGGGCACATCCCCGATTGGGGGTATGCAGGAGGCAGCTGGTTGATGTTTGTCTCTTATTGATGTTTCTGGCTCTCTCTCCCTACTCAAGCTTTAGCTCCCTTTCCTCAAGGGGGTTGGAGGGGCCTGTGGTCCTCATCAGAAGAGGGGTCAGAGCAGAGAGCCAGGAGCACTGGGTCGAGAGCTTAGGAAGAAGTCTGCTGGGTGGCCCCGTCCAGGGACCCACAGATCTGCTGTAAGGGAATCTCTCAGAGTCAGTCTGGGGAGTTGTCTTCCTCCCTCAGCCCTTGTTCCCCTAGTTGGCCTGGTGCTTTTGGGAACAAAGATCAGGAATCCCCGTCTCTCCAGTGTTCTTGGAGGCACAGAACGGTTCCTGCTCAAATCCGAGAAGACAAAGGGGCAACGCGGGGAAGGAAAGAGAAAGTAATGGCCCTGTCACCAGCTTCCCCAGCCTGTCTGAGACCACCCAGTATTTTTCAAGGTGGCTCATCTGTTTGTGTCACTTAAAGTGTTAATTTCCACTCAGCAGAGGTCATTGACAAACGGAGTGAGGCTGATGCCAGGGCCCCAGGGTTTCCTTGCAGCTCCTTTACTGCCATCTCTGGTGTGTCCCTGCGTGTCCTTTGCCACACCTCTCCCCTCACAGGCCTCCCCAGGCCTTCTCCGTGACCAGGCACCCGGAACACATTTGGGGGAAATGCTGCTGTGCCCTTGTTTAGTTTCTGATGCTCACAGGATTGTCATGTTCCAGAGCATCTCAGATACCCCCCACCTCCTCCCTCGTGCGTGTTTTTTTTTTGTGGGGAAGAACCTGAACTAGAAAGCAGGGACACATTGCCAGCTCCTCTCTTACGGGGAGACTGTGAGCCCTGCCACACCTTATGCACATTCCAGCCCAGAGACCAGCATTCTAGACCGGGTGTCTGTGTGGGGAAGTGAGCTTGGCCGGGCCCTGTGCCCTCGCCAGCTGGCAGCTGGCCCTTCCCACTTGTCTGCAGTGCCCTGAGCTCGGTGCT